GGTCGGCAACCTATGACCCGTGGGTCACCGAGTGACCCATTTGGTAATTTCGAGTGACCCACTTTAGTTCTGAAAATAAAGTATAAGATATATAAACATTTTTTTCGTTTAGTAATGATTGATTTTAAAAGTTCAATATTATGGACGGATAAATGCAAGAAATTGCGGAACGATTAGGAAAATACAGAAGATAATCATTTTTTCATGATATCAACATGTTGGGCATCACTTCCTACGAGGTTTTCATCATTAAAAAAAATTGGCTTTGCCATTTTGTCCACATTCGGGTCCACTTATAAATGTGAGCAAATATTTTCACAAATGAAATTTATTTTGAGCAGAAACAGGAGCAGGTTAACTATTGAAAATTCAGATGCTTGTGTTCGACTTAAAACGACCAACTATAAACCAGACTTGACTAAATTGACGTTACAAGTTCAACATCAGGGGAGCCATTGATATCGTAGAGAAAGTTTATAAATAAAGTTCTTAATAAAATATATCTTATTATTTACTAAAATGCTGTTTTAATACGAAAATATCTCTGACCCAAGCGTCTCTTTAATACTCGCATTTTAGTTGATTTTGACCCGCGGTCAAAAAAGGTTGCCGACCCTTGATATAGTACATAACATTAAAAAATTGGAAGATAACTTGCTTACCTTTTACGTTGTTTAAATTTTTCGGTATTTGACAGGTGATCCCGCATCTGTGATTGCAGCATTTGGTCAGTCCTGGACAATGAATGTCTTTGTTACAAGCTTCTAAACAGGCAAACGCGAATCTCGATCCACCTGTTGAGTCCAACCCTGGACAACTTCCTGGTTTGTCGACTCCTTTCATTAAACAAGCCTTTACGCACTAGATAACAATTTCAACTGAATAGTCAATGTACACGATGTTCAAATACATAAAGACGTGGATTACATGTTTCTTTTAAGGGGGTCGTTCATAAAATATATTCGCAAATAAGGGAGGGAGGCGTATAGATTAGCGTCATTGCTAAAGGGGGGAGTGGACTAGCACTTGTGACGTAATCATTCTTGGGGAGTCACTGAAAATATGGTTAGCTTAACGAAGGGAGAGGGAGGGATCTAAAAAGGTGAAATTCTGGGTGACGTAGTTTACGAACGACGACCCCTAAGGAAAGAACTTAAATATTGGAAATGAAACATATTTTAAAAAATGCAGGAACATTAAATACTAAAAATTGATGGAGAAAATCCGGTCCTGATTCTTAGCTTTATTAATTCCTCCTGAATTATTCCTTTGAATGATTTTTTCAAAAATCACTTGTCACGCATAATTAATATTTAAGAAATGCGCATGCGCAGATCGTGGTAAAACTTCTTCGAGCATATTTCTTGTCGATTCTTATTGCATTAAATTTTCAGACTACTCTTGTAACGTAACCCGTATTTAGATGTGATCTATTCTTGATTCATTTGTTGTTTCCAGTAGTAGATACATGATTATTCTTTACGTACTACGTGTATTTATTCGTATAGTACACGTACATATGTGTTTGCAAATTGGTGTGAAGTATGAATAGGCAAAATTAGACATGAAATAGTGCACGTACTAAATTTTCGTAACCAGGAAGTATTTTAAGACTTCTAGAAATGTCAAGCGAATTAATGCACGTTCTTGTTAGCAGAGTTATCCCGCTTCTCTTATTGTTATCTTAAAATAAGTTGCAAATAATTTGTTTTAGTTTCATTGTGCTCATTTTAACGGTTTCTGAATCATTCTTGAGGTTACCTGTTTATATAAACGAAAATAGTAGGAACCGCGAGTTTACAAAACTATTGCTTTGAATGAGGGTAATCTTCTAGGGTGTTTTCTTTTCAGAAATGATTATTGTAAATTGTGCGTTGTTTCATGCTATCGTTAGTTATATGTTAAATTTGAATTATAACACTGTTTAACGTAATAAAGTAAAAGGCTTTCAGGGCAAAGTAGTATTACGTAGTTACTATCAGCAATTTCTTATGCTGAAGTGTATGATGTGTTGCATATCTATCTACAAACAATTACTTTAAATTTAATATTTCAAACAATTTTTAAGACAAAGAAAGTGCTTAAACAAATTGTTCACAAAAGTGAATTTCTACCAGTCGAAACAAGGGTTCTAACCTTTTATACTAGTTTTAATAATAATAATAATAATTAACATCATCACATTTCTGTGTTCACTTATGCGTTCTTGAAATGATCAATCAGTTTGGCCTATATATAAGAGCTTTAAGATTGTTATCTAGTCTATTTTTAGCGTTTCTAATTTTTTGGGGGCTGGGGTATGATTCACCTACTGCAATGAAAGAATAACAGACTTGAAAGTTTGTTGTTAATAAATCGCATGATCTACATTTTATACGATAAGGGAGGTTTCGATTGCACTCATGTTTATCTGTTCTGATTTTTCAGTTCGATAGATACAACCCCATAACTTATTTTGGGTGCCCTTATTTTGCGCTGTAGAATAATTGGTTCATTAGTAAACCAAGACAGACGAGTATTGTCTTTTGATACTTTAGTCAAATGTTACCTTTTTTTTACCAATTTTATTATCGAATGCATTAAAATTTCACTACTTGTATAACATTAAAATGGAAAATTGTTTATTTAATAAAATTAACCGTTGACGTAAAATTGAGTTGGAAACTACTATAAAAACGTTTATCTTACAATGTAATATTAATGAACCATAATTTGATTAAGTACTACCATCTGTAATTAACACGAATAAATGGTCTGTTCATTCAACATGTTGTGTGATATTCCAATGGGCCATTTTATAAATTTTTATTACAATGACCCAATTTAATGATAATTTATTGACCGATAGATAATTAAATTGTACTTAAGTTATTTCCTGTTTGATGTGTGTTTAAGGGTTCCGAAATTTCAAATGAAAAAAACCAAATCTCTTACAATCAACGTAAATGATGTTAGAATTAAGGAATAAAGTAAAAGACATTTAAAAAATATGAGGATGTTAATTCTTTTCTCAATCTTATGCCACATTGTTAAAATACTCTTCTAGAATATTATCTGATGTTTCCAATCAATTGTTCGGCTTCTGAGATGGTTAAAAATTCAACTCATAAGTGTTGTTGTTGTTAGAATAATTTGAGTTAATTGCAATGAAAGGACTAGTATCAATAATTGTCCAAAAATAAAGAAAAAGGTGGATCTATTTTATACATTTGATCATCAAAATCAACAATCGTATTGTATGAAAATAAAAGTGAAATACTGGTATGCAAGGGAAGAAAAAGTAGGGAAAAAACGAATACATATAAAGATAGGAGACGAAAAATTAGAAGAAGTGGCAGATTTTAGGTGTCTAGGAAGTCAGATAAGTCAGGACGAAAAAAGTCGTAGGGATATAAAGCAGAGGATAGCGCAGGGTCGAGTCNAAACTTAGCTTAATTAGTACAATAAAAAAATTTAAAAATAAATTATAAATTATTTGTACATAGGCACATCTTATTTACATCAAAGGCCAGCGAAGACCTTTTTTCTATCTTCAGACGGTTTAATTTTTTTGCGAATTTGTTTCTCGAAGATTATACGGCTTTGTTAAACTGGCTAAAAAAAAATAAAATAAAGTAGCGCTTTTATGATATGTAACTGTAAAATTAATTTAATGCTTATTTCAAAAAGGACTTTATTTACAACGATAGTCTTAAAGTTACTGCATTAGGAAAATATTCTACTTTATTTATAAGCGAACATTACCTGAAGAAAAATGGGTTGTGTTAAGAAGTTGAGCTGATTTTTCACCTTTTAGTTTTTCTGATCCAAACTCCGAAAGTGCTTGAATTTGAAGGAAATATAGCGAATTAGCAGCTAAATTTTTTAGCACGGCTTTTGTGGTACCCTACGAAATCAAAAAGTAAATAATACGAAAATATTATTAAATTAATTCACGATTCTCCATACTAAAATGGGGTGTATCCGTATACTAGACAGTTTCAAAATACGCCTCTGGTAGAGGCTGTTGTTTCAAATAATGTGATAATTTATGATGATAAAAAAACAAATGAAGAACAGAAAAGTTTGTTCTGGATTGTGTTAAAATTATACTATGTTATTAACAAAAGAAATTGGCTCAATAATATAATTGAGTTTCTTGGGAATTTTTTTATTATTTCCGCAAGAGCGATTGCTAAAGTGGCTTATAATTGACCCTTTTTGATAGCGCTTCTTGTACAGCCATAGTTATCGAGATTTGAAAAAGAAATAAAAAATAATATCAATTTATTTATTTATTAAACTGGTCATGCCCGTTTGATTTTGAACAGTGGGTACAAAACAACATAGCATTTATATCTTCATTAATTTATCATTCATGCTTTAAAAGCAACATTAAAAATGTAACAGTTAAAACGTGTCAGTAGAATGTATGCGTATGCAACCAATTATACATCGAATATGCATATTTAAACCCGCTCGGTTTTTTGCAATTGTTTAGTCTTAGACAAAATAGGCGATTTTTAATTAAATTTTATTAAAAGAAAACATCCCATAAATGTATCAAAAGTAGGTCTAAACATCCTGTCTTTTAATTAAATGTTTTAATCATCAGTTAGTTTAGAAGTCAGAAGTCAAAAACACCTTTTTTGCTGTTTAAATCAGTAAGGTCTTTTGAACCATTTAATAAAATTATTTAGACATTTTACTGATGCTTGTCGCTTGACGCCCCTTAGACCTGGGTGCCTCAGGGAATAGCCCGATCTGCTCCCCCCAAAAGCCGACACTGTTGATAGGGGTATATTTTCGAAAAATTCTATTATATAACTAGGTGCACGTAACAAAAATTCCTTTCGTTTTTCTTTTGTCTCGGAACTGAGTACTTCTTGGAGATAGTTAATTATAGAACGAGCTGTAAAAAAATTGTCGGCGTGACATTTATGATGGTCTCATGATTAAAAATGACATTTACGGCATCAGCACTCCTTTTGACAATAATAAACAACAGGACAAGCGTTGTCTTCTCATGTTCACACAAAGTAAAGTAAATGTCCAGGTGGAGGCTGGCATCAAGAAAGCTTTGTGAGCTTTCAAAAAAAATGAAACATGAGCTCGTTTGTTTCAAGCAGTAATGGACGCTGCATTGTGTGCTTTATTATATATTGGACGCTTCGGGGCTCGATTTTATTTGTGGTCAAGACACTGACATGGGTGGTTTGCAACATCAGGTTAGTTAGAGAACGAAATAGGTGTTGTTCTTACATGTATTTATATGGGCTTGTATTTTATTTTTATGTTCGCATACGAAACGCAGTAGAAAGTTGCTCTTTTTTGGTGTGTCAGTGAGGGTCGGGAACGTTTTTTTTTATCACAATTTATTTATTAAAATGTGCAGAATCAGCGCTCGTATAGGGGTAAAAAAGGGTTTTTCCTAAACACACACCGACGTTCTGCATTTTGTTGTAAAGGCCTTATTAAGGTAGGTTTTTGAGTCAATAAAACTTTTAAACCAAAAGGCGAAAAGTTGGTATTTGTTTAGAAAAAAAAACTCTTTTTTGATTCTATATTGGTACCTAATTGATTCAGCACGGGAAGAAATGGAAAAAGTTTCTTCATTACCTGAAGATGTTTAGACAATCTGCCGTGTAAAAAAATAATAAATTTTCTTTGTACCAAAATCATTTGATATGAACAGGGTCGAAAATTGATAGTATTTTTGTTTATTTTCGAAACTAGAAATGTCAAAAACCACTTTATTGTTATAAAACCAACGATTAATTTATTAAGTAATACTTTTTATTTTCAAAACCTTATATTTATTTTATTTTATTCACGCGAAGAATGGTACGATTATTTCTAAATTTCTTACCCGGTAGGTAGCTTTCGTATCTAAAACCAGATAAAACGTTGTAAGGATATGGTAAAAAACATTTTCTAAAATTTTCCAATTAAAAAAAAATGGTCTGCACTCATTCTCACCAAAATTCACAACGAGAAAGTTCTGAAATAATTTTAACATTTAGCAGATATTTATCAGTAGATACTGAAAGTCTATCCCTTTCTCACACCAAACGTTCCCCTTAATTGGAAAAACTCAACTGGAGCAGACATCGCAAACTCAACAGAAATATTAATTCTTTTAAAACACCTTAAAGATTTTCTTTTCTTTTCAATCGCATCTGGTACTTTTTCAGAACTTGAACTACAACCACCCATCCTTTAGTTTTACATTACTTGGTTTATCTAACTTAATCAAAATTAGTTCTCCATAAAATTCCTAAACCTGGAAATTTTAGAAACCTCGGACGTTACCCCTGACAGAATTAAAACACCAGGATGTCCAGTTTAATTGAAAATATCTCCTGCATCGCTAATTGTCCTAAACTAACTGAATTCTCAAAATATTTTGAACGAAACGTAATACTATTCAGAAACTTTAAATATTACAGTTATTGGATTCGGATTATTGTATTGTTTATGTGAAAACATGATTGCATGCATTTATACGAATTTTCTTGTACCACGTCGTATATTTCAAAAGATGATGCCGTCCTTTAATGATAATGGAACATCTTTAATATTCGGTTATTTACTTGCCAGCAATAGTATATATAGGTACATATAGTGTCATCCCATAAGACATTTGGGTTGAGACTGTTAACAAACAATTTAAAGCATAAAAGTTTCAATACTCAGAGATGCTTTCATCACTAAGATATATTTTGATAAGTTTCTAACAATAAAAAAGCATCCTTTATTATTGTTTCAATTCAATTGCTTGATATGGATTACACGCATTGCTTTGCTATGTTTTAATTTTGTGAGCAAAACATTCATTTCATGTGTTGCATGAAAACGATATCCCTATCATCATAAGGTCGTCACTCCTAAGATTGGTTGAACATGCACCTCCACTCTTTCCTATCGTATCCATTTCCCTAGAATTTGAACATTCCACATCCTTAACTATTTGTGAACAGGAATCTAATCTAAACTACCTCTGAACTTCTGTTTTTGCTTCCAATGTTCCAATACATATATCTTTAACTAGCCCTTCATGCTTGAAAAGGTGTCCTACAAACCTATCTCGCCTATTTCTTATTTCTCCTACTCTTTTTAATACCTTGTTTTGGGTATCATCATCATAATGTCGTCAGTCTTAAGATTGGTTGGACGCTCACCTTCGCTCTTTCCTGTCCTAAAACTAGAATATCCCACATCCTTAACTATTTGTAAAAAGTAATCTAATCTAGATTTCCTTTTAACTCCTTTTAATTCCTGTTTTTACTTCTAACTAGCCCTTCATGCCTGAGAAGGTGTCCTGCAAACCTCTCTCGCCTATTTCTTATTTCTCCTACTCTTTGGGTATCATCATCATTGTAAGGCGGTCAGTCCTAAGACTGGTTGGACACGCACCTTCACTCCTTCCTATCCTGAGCTAACCTTCGCATTTCCCTACAACTAAGAACACATCCTCCACTATTTGTGTACAGTAATCTAATCGGTCTGAAGAATGAAAATTGAAGATAACAATTTTTCGTTTCAGTGCTCATGTTTTCTTTTCTATTTCTTCTTCGTTCAATATTTAATGGCGTCAGCATTTTGGAACGACGATGCGTCCAATTGGTTTACTGACTCAATATCGCCAGCATCGTTTAAAAAGCATTATCCTTTCTCTCAAGATACAAATCCTTGCCATACGAATTATTACAGCGAAAAGTGTCGGATTTACCGTAAGCTTGTTTATGGCAGTCAAACATTAAACGATGTTTTTGACGAAAAAGATAGGTTGCAATCGGTAAGAATACTTATATTCCCTACAATTTACTCTTTTTGCAATTCCATTAATTAATTCTAAAAATGGTTTAGGATGATTTAGAAATTAGAAATATAACTTTGGAAAGTGTTCTGGTGCTTCTAATAAGTTTTTATTTTAATTTTAATAAATATGGTACTATTGGTGGTGCCATTAAACGGTACTTTATTAATCTTCAAAATTGCCACATTATTTCATAAAAGAAGTGTTGTCATAGATTATGAGACACTCTGTAAGCTTCCTCTTAAAAAAGATGTACTTTTATTATCGTTTCTTTCGTCAATATATGTACATACATACTGTGTCCGTGTGTTTATGCTAATGGCTAATGCAATGTTTATAAGGAGAGAGAAAAGAAACTGAGTAAGATCAGCGTCAATCTTAATGCCCATTCGTGTCCTTGTGAATACAACACAACCTACATTGATTTAGGGGACAATGATTATTTTCCAAGGTGAGCTTAATTGTAAAAGAGTTTTTTTATTAAGACAAATGTAAAGGCAACTTAGATGCCTGGAAAGCAAACACGATCATATTTGATTTTATTTATTTTTAAAGTAGTATCTATGTGTCGTGATGAGGCTTTCTGAAATTTTGTTTTTTCTTTAATGAAGAGAGAGAAAGAAACATTGTAACTTTTTGTATTTTTAGATAATTTTATTTAAATTTAGGACGATAAACTCATTTGGGTGATTCCATGAAAATAGGCAACTTTATGATGTAATTAGTCTTTACTATTTTTTACATATTGTGCAATTTTAAATTAGTGTGTTTTGTGACTGATCGATAGAATAATTAATGTTCAAAAGGGCCAGTCACTTTGTTTAGTATTTTAAGAGAAATTCAGGTTTTTGTAAATTTAGACGTCTAGGGACTGACACATATAGCTATGGACTGATATACTGTAATATAAGATTTTTTAAGGCAATTAGTGTAATAAAATAAGACTACTACACAGGCATAGCTTCACTTTTATCAGGAACGTATTTTAGACAGTATCATTATTAATTCACTTAAAAATTGTTAATCAAGTGTAGCTTTAGCTAAAATTCTTTAAGATAAGGTAAAAAATAAAACATACGAAGCCATTAGCTCTNTTGTATGAAAATAAAAGTGAAATACTGGTATGCAAGGGAAGAAAAAGTAGGGAAAAAACGAATACATATAAAGATAGGAGACGAAAAATTAGAAGAAGTGGCAGATTTTAGGTGTCTAGGAAGTCAGATAAGTCAGGACGAAAAAAGTCGTAGGGATATAAAGCAGAGGATAGCGCAGGGTCGAGTCGCTTTCAATAAAAAGAAGTCACTTCTATGCTCACGAACGACTAATTTAGAAATTCGGAAAAGATTGTCGAATGTGTATGTTTGAAACGCGGCGCTGTACGGGTGCGAAACATGGCCGGTGGGTGCGGCGGAATGAAAAGGTTAGAAGCGTTAGAAATGTGGTATTACAGGCGAATAATGAGGATACCGTGGATAGAGAAGGCTAGAAATGAAGAGGTATTGAAAGAATAGGAGAACAAAAGACTATGGTTAAGTCAATAAAGAATAGGAGAAATAGGTTGGCAGGACACCTTCTCAGGCATGAAGGTCTAGTCAGAGACATATTAGAAACAGAAGCAGGAGTTAGGAGGAGAAGAGGTAGACCTAGATTAGATTACTGTTGGCAAATAGTTAAGGATGTGGGTTGTACTAGTTTTAGGGAAATGTGAAGATTAGGTCAGGAAAGGAAAGAGTGGAGGTGCGCGACCGAGCGGCATGGCCTAGAGGTCTAGACCATTGCTTAGCATTCGGGAGGACGTCGGTTCGATTCCGGGTCCGTCTGCCTTGGTCCAAGTATTTCTGTGGTTTCCTTGGATCACTTAGGCAAATGCTGAGGCTGTAATATTCCACAGATAATCTTTCACTCTCTTCTGTCTTCATTTCGTCCGTCTCATNCTTGGTCCAAGTATTTCTGTGGTTTCCTTGGATCACTTAGGCAAATGCTGAGGCTGTAATATTCCACAGATAATCTTTCACTCTCTTCTGTCTTCATTTCGTCCGTCTCCTCTTTCTCATCCGAACCATCCCACCACCCACCCTTTCCCACGATTCCTGAAAGCAGGCTGAAGAGGGCCTTCCGCCCTACCTTGCGGCGTAGTCCGGAGGGACTGCCCGCCCACCAGCATTAGTGGCTGGTGGGAATGAAACACCCAAAAGTTTTTAGTTTTTTTTTTCGAGGTGCGTGTCCAACCAGTCTTAGGACTGGCGACCTTATGATGATGATGACTGGATAGTGGCACATTTTTGTACCATGCGATTCTATAAGTAGTTCTGATCTCATTAAAAGCTAAGAAACCCTACCTTTGTAGAGAAGAGCGAAAGCTTCTAATGATAGAAAAAATGCCTGGAAACGCGATTTTCGGACAACTATAAAAGACAAAGTACTTTTTTTAATTATTTAAATTGTTTTTTATTTGTTTTTGAACGGTGGGCATGGCGGAAAAGGAATGGTTACAAATATTTGAAAAGGTTAGAAATGAGGAGGTAGTAGGTAGAGATAGGTTGTTAGGACAGCTTCTCAGGCATGAAGGGTTGGTTAGGACATATTGGAAGCAGAAACAAGAGTTAAGAGGAATAGAGGTTGACGTAGATTAGATTACAGTTCACAAATAGTTAATGATGTGGGATGTTCTAGTTTTAGGGAAATGCGAAGATTAGCTCAGGATAGGAAAGGGTGGATGTGCGTGTCCAACTAGTCTTAGGACTAACAGCCTTATGATAATGAGTTAAACTATTTTTTATTGCAATTATGAATTTAAATTCAATTGAAACTGGTCGTAATAGCAGTTACCTGAATTTATTTTTTGACCTGTCTAACAGTATGATGTGGACCATATACATATTAGACATACCCAAACAATTAAGGCTAATTAACCTTTTTGATCTTTTCTAATAAAGCGGCTAGTGACCATGTTAACTGTCCTAAAATAATTGGATTTATTAATATCAGATAAAAACATACTCAGACTTGTTTAAATGTAACCTATATACTCGACGTCTGCTATCGTTCGTAAGTATGTATTTATTAAAATTTAAAAGCTCATACATATTGAACTTGTATTGTTATTTGTCTGTCTGTTTGTCCGTTTGCTACGAATACAATATTAATGAAGTTTTCGTTAACAAAATACATTTTTTATAGTCAAATGGTTTTTTTTTAAATAGAAAAATATAAATCTAAAAATGGTTTATTATATGTATGCATTTTTAATAAGTATATCATCCTACTACAAACAAATTAAGAATACAATTACTTAATTTATTATTAAATATTCAGGTCATGAATTTGTTTTAAGTATTAATAATTAGGCCGCGAAAGCCTTCCTCTATAAGCGTATGAATTTTAACTTTGTTTCTTTAATAACGGCCATATACGTAAAGTGAATTTGCTGCTGCCTGCTGCAGCTTGTTCTGGTTATTAACAATGCAACTCTAGTCGAGATATTTATGGAAGCTATTTTACATTTGACCTCCGAGATTGGTAAAAATCACGAGGCAAGGCTGCATTTTATTTTGCGGCTCTCGTCCTGCTTGTTAACTCCCTGCCTACTTAGCAATGAGATGGATTAAGCTAAAATGCCAATCGTCGATTAATGGAATACGAGTATACGGGGTGACTCAGTGAATCATTAAATAAAAAACGACAGTCAGACACGCTAGTGATCCTATAAGGGTTCCGTTTTTCATTCGGACGTATGGAACCCTAACCCGAGATACAACTTAACATTGTAGTTGAAGAAAAATGTGTTCTCCCATACGTTCAAACTTTAAAACTATTTTAATATTATAAATTTAAGTCACACGGTACAGTTTGCAAAACTTTTGGTAAAGGTCTAGGTGATGGGGGGACCGAAAGAGGAGGTCTCCCCCACCACTGTACCATAAAAGTTCGTGGCGGTCTCACCCCCAAAAAAGTTATGGGAGTTCAAAGTTAATAAATATGCCAATTTTTATACATTTCTAGGCATGTAAATATTTATATATCTAGTCATTCTTAAACAATATTCAAAGGTAAAACTAATGAAAAATACATAAANGAATTAAAATAAAATTTGTTATGAAGATTATATTTCAAAAAAGTTAAAAAGAACACGTTGTACCGGGGATTCTAAGGATAAAACTATTTTAGACCATGTTAATGGAAGGGGGCTCGAAATTGGTTGAAATAGAGTCACATGGTTTATGAACAGCCCCTTATTTGATTTCCTTCCCTAATGGATGGATAAATGGGTCTATCCGAAATACAGTTTGGAATTGACCCATTAATAGTAATATGAATAATGCGTGTGTGGTTTTCCTGGTTGGTGGCAGAACCCATAATATGATTAGTATTTATGATCCACTGCCCTTGTATTTGATAAACAATTAAAATACAGTAGAACCTCGACAAGATAAAGACCAAGGGAAACTTTAAATAATTTGAGTTATTGAGGTTTTTACTTATCTACTAAGGGTTTAAGTTTAAGCTTTAAAATTATGGATTACCGGTGACTTAGCAAATTTTTCAACTTTTTCCTTTAGTATAGGTCCACTAAGACTAATATTTTTACGGCTTTTTTGTCTTTTACATAGAAAACTTTCTCCCGATTCAAACCACTCTTCACTGCTTACTGAGGTGCGATGCTCAAATTATTCGTTTAAGTTATAGAGTAGAACAAACAGAATAGCTCAAAACCCCAACGCCAAAACAAGACACTGTAGTTGTCCGAAGCACTTTTCGGTAACAAAGTTACCTTCTTCAGGGACTGAAGTAAACTAAACCTAAATGAGAACTAATCCTAATTTATACTGATAGTTGTTAAGGTTCAGTGAACATGACCCGAAGCCAACAAGGTAGATGTTCAATGGACCTTAACATCATCATCATAAACGTAATTAAACTAAACTAAATAGCGGAGATCCAGGGATGGGACCGTTGTCATTGTTAAGAACAATTTGTTTATTTTTATAAATGTATAAACTTTCAAAACTGTTTAGTAAACGATTATTCCTAACTTCTTTAACTAACTTAAGGTTATTAATATTAATATTATGTCCATCAGTAAGAATATGTTGGGCAACACTAGATTTTTCTTCTCTACCAAACCTAGCATGAGCTAGATGTTCTTTAAATCTGGTTTTGATTGAACGTCTAGTTTGTCCAATATATTTTTTACTACAGTCATTACAACTAATTTCATATATCCCCGACTTTTCTAAGAATGGAATTTTATCCTTAGGGTTACCAAGGAGAGTTTGAATGGAGTTGCCATTTGAACTGTAAGCAATCCGTAAACCAAGTTTTCGAAAAATACCCTCGAGTCCGCGAGTAAATCTTGGCTCGTATGGCA